AACTGCCACGCGTTACCCCGAAACAGTTGAGCCGCGTTTTCACAGGCGCGGCTGTTTCTGAAAAAGTGCGAGCGATTTCCCCGAACCCTCCGCTGTTCTTCCTTGCGCTTGCGCAACCTTCGGGCTGAGACTGTCGAGATTGTTGGGAACTTCGTTGGGAACATCATTGGGAATGGAATCCTGAACACAAGCCGAGAAATCACGAGGGATACAAATCGATGCTCCAAAAAAACAAAAACATGAAATCGAATATCAACCAAGGAAAAATCGAGGCCCTTTCTGGTGGGTTCACCTTGTTCAAAGACAACCAATAATTTGGGTGTACATTTGGATGGGGGGGGGCCTCGGTGGACATGAATTATACCTCGGAATCCATGTTCACCGGTGTCAACTCTTCAACATTCTTTTTCTTGCATGTGCTCAGCAGGGAATGTGGTTGAATGAACCCAGGGATTCCCCTGGAAGGAAACCACCAGTTGGATGGTTTCTTCGGGTCACGCCAATTCTCATTCCCTACCTATCGCACAAGTCACGAGGATTCCCTACCCCACGCTTCCCCCCACCCCACGCCATTTCTACCCCAGTTTCTAATTCTCATTCCCTACCCCACGCCATTTCTTCGGATCACGCAAGTCGTGAGGATGTCCTTTCTGTTTTTGCTCAAACGGTTAAAGGGACGCCACTCTCGGGATTTCCCTTCAAACAAAACCAAGCCCAAGCAGCGAGGAACCCCCGCTGGGTTCAGAACTGAGGTTCATGTTCAAGGGGTTCGCCGCGCAAAAGACGAAGCCATTTGGATAGAAATGTTGATTGGGACTCTTTAGATACATGGGGATTGATGTCCATCCGGTTCGAAAGATGAACTCTGCTGGGTATGTGTCAGACTGCCTGTGCTGGCGTCCTTTTTTGAACAAGTGCACAACGCAAAGGGTTACAGCATTGCCCTTGCTATTCTCTGATGACCATGACTTTTGATTTGAACTTCCCCCCAACCCCACTCAACTTATCGCGCCCTCGAACAAGGCGAACCCGTTCCGGTTCCCAAATGATCCAAAGGGTCGCCGATTGGAACTCATACCCATTCAGGCGCTTCGTCAAAATTGGGTGGTCCCTTGGCTTCCCTTCAAGGCACCCTCAAGGAAACACAAACCCATTCCCTGCAAGGCCTCGATGCAATACACGCGTCGACAACTCGCGAGCCTCCCGCGCCTTGCGAAGGTCCCGGCTGAGTGCGCAAAGATGCCCCGACCACGCGCGAAAGACCTGCACCAGTCAAGAATATATATATATATACGTATATATATATATATATGTATATATATTTATTTATTTATACGCTCACCCACCCACCCCCCGCAGGGCTTATCTTTCCACTTCCAAATGAACCAAATCCTCTTATTTTAAAGACAAGGGGCGTGAGCACATATACGCAAGAAGTGTGCTGTTGTTGCATATTTTGTGTGGGTGACAAGTCTGTTGAGGAACAACCGCGAAGAGTTGATAAACTTTCTGGAAAGATTAAAAACTATGTCAAGGGTTTGACGGTTTCCCTGCAACAAGACAACACCTGGGCACCGGGGGGAGGTTGAGAAGCCTGGGACAGGGGGAGGGAGGGGGGCGGGGGAGGTGGTGGGAAATCTTTTTCCCCCGTTGGTTGCGCCCTCCCCCCCTCCTGTCCCTTTCAAGGATACCAGGACCATGAAGACTTCCCAGGGTGTTGCCTTGTTGCAGGAAAACGCCAAACACCCAAGAAGGTTTTTTGAAACTTTCCGGCAAGTTTAGATACTGTTGTTTGGGGAAAATGTTGTTTGGGAAAAGGATCAATCCTCGGTCCAAGGGAACACAATCTGAGCAACTTCTGCAAAACACCGTGTTTTACAGCATTTTTGTTGGACCTCTGACATTTCCATTTCGGAACACCTAAAACCTAGAATCTGGAGATCAGAATCCTCGACATGTCTAATGTTGGATTCTCCAAGCCTCATGATTTGGAGCTGGGAGTCCTCCAACATGAATGCCTTTCCAAAAAGGATGTTACTCCGAATTGAATTGGAATGTTAAAGGGGGCAAAATGTTGTTTGGGGAATGAACAATCTTCGGTCCAAGGGCACACAATCTGAGCAATCTCTTCAAAACACAGAATCTGGAGATCAGAACCCTCGACATGTCTAATGTTGGATTCTCCAAGCCTCATAATTTGGAGCTGGGATGAATGCCTTTCCAAAAAGGATTTTACTCCGAATTGAAATGGAATGTTAAAGGGGGCAAAATGTTGTTTGGGAAATGAACCATCTTCGGTCCAAGGGAACACAATCTGAGCAATTTCTTCAAAACACTGCGTTTTACAGCATTTTGTTGGCCCTGGTGAAGCACCTGAAACCTAGAATCTGGAGATCAGAGCCCTCGACATGTCTAATGTTGGATTCTCCAAGCCTCATGATTTGGAGCTGGGAGTCCTCCAACATGAATTCCTTTCCAAAAAGGATTTTACTCCGAATTGAATTGGAATGTTAAAGGGGGCAAAATGTTGTTTGGGAAATGAACAGTCTTCGGTCCAAGGGAACACAATCTGAGCAATTCTTCAACACACTGCGTTTTACAGCATATTGTTGGACCTCCAATCCCTTGAAATGTCCTAAAGCCTAGAATCTGGAGATCAGAAACCTCGAAATGTCTACTGTTGGATTCTCCAAGCCTCATAATTTGGAGCTGGGAGTCCTCCAACATGTCCAAATATAGATTCCTTTCCAAATACTGCGAGTTGAATTGGAATGTTGAAGGGAAAAAATGTTGCTTGGGGAATAACAATCTTCGGCCACAGGGAACACAATCTGAGCAGTGTCTGCAAAAAAATGTGTTTTACAGCATTTTGTTGGATCTCTAATCCCCTGAAATGTCAATGTTGAAACACCTGAAACCGAAACCTAGAATCTGGAGATCAGAATCCTCGCAATCTCCAAGCCTCATAATTTGGAGTCCTCCAACATATCCAAATATGCATTCCTTTCCGAATACAAGTCAGAACCAACGTGTAAATTACCACCACTCAGGGCATTGACCTCTCCAGAACCCGATTTGCTCCGAATTGAACTTGCATATTGGATAGAATTTAGTAGGCACATAGTTCACCAAATTTCATACTTCACCACAACAATCAGAATAGGAATACCTTTCCAAATAAGGAAAATTGACATTTTAGTAGAGTTTACATATACTTTTACTGCACACAGAATTCAAGTGGCTTTTGAACATAAGAAATTAATCAAGAATCCTTCCCGAAATATGACTTAAATTGGAATAGAGCTTAATCTGGAAAGAAATCACTTGGCCTTTGCAAACAAACTGTAATAGTACTCATTCCCCAATTTGATGTAGATTAAATGTGGCTAAACAAATAAAGGGCAAATATCCCCAGACTTCCAAAATTGGTCTAGCTCAAAGCTGCAAAAAGCATCATTTGTTCAATGTTTTTCCTGGTGTGTTCAAAGCTTACTGTAAAACCAGTGTTTTCAGACAAAGCCAGACTTGAATCTGAAAACGGAATCCGTTTGCTTTGTTGCCTTTCAAGCTGAAACAAAGCAAGCATTTGCTGTCATATAGAAGGTATAACACCAACCAAAACATTGTATTTTACAGTGTTTTCAGGCATCTGCAAGAACGAGGCAAACGGAGTAGACTCGACACCTTGTACTAGAAGAGAGGAAAGGTAGGCCCTGGGGAGGGGTGACCACATCTATACATATATATACATATGTCGTGTGATATACAAACACATTGTTAAAGTTAAAGTGACTCGTGCACCTGGATACCTGGCGCGACAAGCCTGTGTGTGTGTGAGGCGGCATGCTGTGTGGTATGTTTGCGCTGAGGGCGATGCTGTATACAGGCTCAAGGCCTTGATGTACAAAGGCGCCAAGCGTTGTTTGTTCCTGAAAACTGTTCTCCTTTCCACATCTGTTGTTGTGCTCTGTGTGCCCATTGCTTGATACGTGTCGTCAAATATGGTCGTTGTATCATCCTTGTATCTGACGGTTGTGCTTCTGTACTGTGTTCTCAATGGTGTGAAAAGTGTCTTCCTGTATTGTCTGTGCTCTGAAAAGTTCACCTTTTGTGTTGAGCTGACAGTAGTCGCCTGCATACCCCGCGTCTGCACTGCCAGTCTGTGTGTGTGTTGTAGTCGGTGCGATCATGCCGATCTGACCTTGCTGTGTGCTGCGTGTCTGAAGCCCCGCTCGTTTTGGCAGCGCTGTAATCTCTGACCAGCCTTGCCTTGCATTAACCTCACAAACGTAGAAGAGTGTGACAACCTGTCGTCCATTGTAGTTTGTAGATCACCACGCTGCATTGCTTTGCCATGTGTCCTGGCTGCCCACATCTGTAGCAATCGTTTGTGACCTCTTTGCTGTGTGCGACGCGAATTCTCTCAGACTAACGTGCAACGTTGCATGTGCTTAGCAAATGGAAGGGAGCAGTGGTGATGAACCTTACAGGTGACGGCCAGGCCAAGGGGTCCATATTGTTGCCGCCCCCACCCCCTGCAAGTTCACTTGCCAAAACCTCACGATTCTTAGGGATTCGTCCAGACCCCGCGCTAAGAAATTTATTAAAGGGGCACATATCCAAAACCTCTTCATGTTTTGGGCTGTACAAACCTTCGTCTATTTAGGTTTGATTGTGACTCACCTGGCTGTGAAAGAGGGGGGTTGCCCCTTCCCTGTGCGACTTGTTTCGAACCCCAAACGCGTGCCAAGTGAATGCGAGACGTAGGCCCTAGGCTTCTCCCAAGATTCCATGTTGCTTTGCTTTTAGATCAATCTAGAAGCACCACACACGTAGACTCCCAAGGGAGTAGTCTGAAATTCGAGTGGGTGTGATTCGAGTGGGTGGTTCAAGTGCATGGTTCGAGTGGCGCTTCCCTCTAGATTCGAAAAAAACACTACAAGGTCCAACATGAAGCACACACGGCCAGAGAAACAGAGGGCCAAAAAGGACTTTACATCACGAATGCAGGTACGCATTGAGGCGTCCCTCAGCGTTTCCGGCCAAATTTCCATAGCTTCGTTGGCGTGGCTAGGAAGATGGCTGCCACGCTCACTGCTTGTGAAACATGTTGGCGTCAGGGTTGAACTGACGCTCAGCACACACACACACACACACCCGCCCGCCCACCCGCCCACCCACACACAAACACACACACACACACACACACACACACACACACACACACACACACACACACACACACACACACACACACACACACACACACACGCACGCACGCACGCACGCACGCACGCACGCACGCACGCACGCACGCACGCACGCACGCACGCACGCACGCACGCACGCACGCACGCAAGCACGCACGCAAGCACGCAAGCACGCAAGCACGCAAGCACGCAAGCACGCAAGCACGCAAGCACGCAAGCACGCAAGCACGCAAGCACGCAAGCACGCAAGCACGCAAGCACGCAAGCACGCAAGCACGCAAGCACGCAAGCACGCATGCGCACCCGCACCCGCACCCGCACCCGACACCCGCACCCGCACCCGCACACCCACACACACACACACACACACACGTGCAAACCATTCTCTTGACTACAGGGGCTAATGCTGAATCTTGACTTTTGTTTACCTCTCTTCCTTGGATGGTGCTGCATCGGGCTGGTAGCTTCACCCCAGCCCTAACTCTAAGCAACACTTGTGGAGTCCAACTGCTTTTCTCTTCACAGTGACGTCGACAGACACCCCCGAAGATTCCTATCGGAAAGATCCGGCACTCTTCGGGTTGTTGATTGTAGCTCAGATGCCCAGCAACCGTAAGGGCAAAGGCCCCAAACTGTTGGGGAAAAAGGATGAAAGGAAGAAACCCACTGGGTGTCTAATGGAAATGCGGAGCCCCCAACTCCGGAACCCTTGAGGAAAGAAGATAAAAAAGGAAGAAACCCACGGGGTGTCTAAGAGAAATGCCGCGGCTGGGATAGAACCTACGGGTTCGTTCGTCCCTGATGTTCAGGTCCTTCTCACAATGTGTCCTTCTCTTCGAGGAGCCAACTTTGGGGTCCAGCCAACCTTTCCTTCTCACTGGCAACGCTTCTGACATATTTGGTTGCGGGGTTTTTGTGGACCAATGCACTTGGTTGCTGTAACGACCCCTGTGCAATAAAGTTTTTACATCTTTGCGGGTTTAGTGGAAACACCCCTTGATTTCCCAAAAAGTTGAAGTCTAAAGATCCAACCCAATAGCACTCAAGTGGAGGGGAGGCATCCCCATTTTGAGACAACCCCCCCACATCCGCCAGGCGGTGCCTCCTGCAACCGCAGAGCGCCCAGCTCCCTGCACCTCAAATAGAAACATGCCAAACGGACGCGCCAAAAAATGCCAGAGTATTTCCAGCCTGAAAGCACTGCCCAAGGGAAAATACATATTTTTTGAGGTTATGATCCTCTACTAAAAAAAGAGAGGTAAAAGTGGGTATTTGGAGTAGGGGGCACCCTTTCTGGGGTTTGAATGGGGTTTCAATGGGACGAGTTTCAATGGGACTGAGCTTTGCTGGGTGGTTTTGACCCCTTGGGGTTGGTAGGGATTGGTCAATGAGGTTCTCCATACCCCTCAAAGACATGTTGACCATGTTGTCCGTCTGCTGTGCGACACAAGAATCGCTACAAATAGGAATGCTACGTCTGAACAAGGATGCGTAGATGATTTTGCTGCTCACCTTTACTCACTTGCTGAGTGGATGGCCCAAAAAAAATTCAAACTTTATATTTACCACTAAAATGGTCTTCCCAAAAAGTTTAAAGTTCATGAACTCAGGAAGTGAGTTTATCAAAGATTTGTTTCCACCTCTCATAAAAAAAGAATACCACAAGTATTCTGTCACTTTTTCAAGATATTTTTTCTCTACGCCCGAGGTCGACAAATCGTACAAACTAAAAAGGCATCGGGTATTTGGAGTGGGGGTAGTTCTGGTTCAATCAGCTTCCCTCGAAAAGGGTGGGTTTGGAGCCCAGTTTGGAGGTTCTGGATGGTTCCCGTCTACACGGCGCAAGAAAAGCAACGCCGACATCCGGCGTCTTCTTTCGTGCGCCTCAGCTCCAGCATCTGCTGCGAGCAGGCCCGGGCGCCTCGGAAATCACGGGGTTGTTCCCTTTAACCCACCACTTACCCTCCCACCAGCTAACATGGGTTTGTGCACAGACCCCCTGTGGAAGGACTACTTTCCTCTTGGTTAGTTGGCCTTTTTGCACTTCCATGTTAGTTGGTGGGAGGGTAGGGGGTGTCTTTGATCATGTTAGAATAGTGAGTTTTTGTCGATCAAAATTTAAAGCACCCGGATATGGACCGCAGGCTTTAGTCTATGTTTCCATTTACCAGGATTCATTTTGGATACCTATTTTTGACCCACACCCAAATGGAGTCATTGCATAAGGGTCTTTCGGCACTGGCTGTTTGAGTACGCGCCGTGCAGGCGGGCGTGGGGCGGGGATGTCTTGGAACATATTTGCAAAGGAAACCAAAAAGAACGCCAGCCATTTCTTCCCCAGAATTCCCTCTCCTTTTTGATTCTGATTTGTTGGCCGTCCCCTTTGTTTGCCAGCCAAGATTCATTGGGCCCCGCTCGTTTTACACAAAGGGATATCACGCGTCAACTAGTCCCAGCCCAAGATCCTAGTGTGGATGTTCTTCATCACGTATCACAGAATCTAACCACTTGAGGAAACTTCAGCTTCAGTGTCCACTTCGCCGGAGTCCCTCCGCAGAGGTCAAGCCCATCCCCAGCAACCCCGGAACCCACCCCCACCCTCCCAAACCCCGGTCATGCCAAAGCGCGAGCATCCCAGCGAGCATCCGCCGACCAAGAAGCTCCTGCTGCAACGACCGCCGACGTTTCGGAAAGGCCGCGCCACTCCTCCAAAGGGGTCTCTCGTCTTTTCGGAGTCGGTGCCCGGTTTTTGGTGGACCAAAGGAAGCCAAAGGGAAACCAAAGCGCACCCAGCGGGCGTCCGAAGAAAAACACCATGAGTGTCTTCACGTGCAAAGCAATCAGAAGAAATCTCCAGATCGGGGCTGGGTTCTTCACACCAAATCCAAAGTCAAGTCGAATCAGAGAAGAATGTTAGGTCCGGTCCTTCCAGTCAGCCTTTGGTATCAAAGGTAGTGACACAAATGGAAGTGGACAGCTGCCGGCCTGTAGAGGATTCGAAACTTTGGTTTGAGCGATGAGAAATTGATTGCATTTTTGAAGAAACACCTCACAAGCTCCAGGGAAAACTGGGGGTAGTTCCAGCTCGTATGTTCGATGTTGGAAAGGCCAAGCTGAGCGCGATCCTGATTGGGATTGACAACTATGAGCTCAGGATTGAAGCGTGGCTCAGCGTTTGCCACACGCACAAACACACACACAACCACACACACACACACACACACACACACACACACACACACACACACACACACACACACACACACACACACACACACACACACACACGCACTGACTCTCTTGCCCAGAGGACTTGGAAACAAATGGCCCAAATGGCTAACATTTTGGAGTGACAAAATATGGATCATGGGAGAGGTGGCTTAAGGTCGATTCGCTTTGGGGCAAGGCCCAGACGGCTTTCTCACACCCCTCACGTTCAGCTTCACGGTTTGGAGGTGGCGTTAGGGGGTGGTGTCCCATTTACTCACACCAAGGCTTCAAATTCCCAAACCAAACCAAACCAAACCAAATTGTTCAAACCAAATCCCCAAACCAACCAAAACCCCAACCCAAATCCCCAAACCCAAATCCCCAAACTCAAATCCCCAAACTCAAATCCCCAAACCACATCCAACCCCAACAAATTCCGCCGCCGAAGGAACTTCCGATCCAGGCCATGAATCAAGCTGATTCAAGCCTGACGGGTGCACATCACGCCTTCGGGTCTTCGGGTCTTCGGCTTGCAACTCCGCCCTACTGACTTTCAACTTGGTTGCTGTGGGCCTGAAGGGAAAGCAATGGGAACCGGTAACTTCTGAATCTTGGGGTTCTCTATCTTAAGATACACCCATGCAACGCATTTCCGATGACCACGCTTATTTCTTGGTTGCTGGAACGACCCCGCTGCAAAAAGTGAATAACTTTTTGGGGGGGTTCATGTGGGAAATCCAACTTGATTTCAACCAAAACGTTAAAGTCTAAAGATCCGTTGCCCAATAGCAGTCAAGTCAATAGGCCCTATTGACAACTCATAGGCCAAGCCCCATACGTTTACCCACCCGTGCTGAGTCAGGGGCTATTGGGGGGGTATCCCTGAATCAGCCCAGGAAAGCAAATCTGAAACAGGGCGAATTAAGGCCCCCCCCCCACCAATCCACCAATCCACCTACCCACCTACCCACCTACCCACCCACCCACCCACCCACCTACCCACCTACCCACCTACCCACCTACCCACCTACCAACCCACCCACCCACCTACCCACCCACCCACCCACCTACCCACCCACCCACCTACCCACCCACCTACCCACCCACCCACCTACCCACCCACCCACCTACCCACCTACCCACCTGCCTACCCACCCACCCACCCACCTACCCACCCACCCACCCACCCACCTACCCACCCACCCACCTACCCACCTACCCACCTACCCACCCACCCACCCACCCTACCTACCCACCCCCTACCCACCCACCCACCTACCCACCCACCCACCCACCTACCCACCTACCCCACCCACCACCTACCCACCCCACCTACCCACCCACCCACCCACCCACCCACCCACCCACCTACCCACCTACCCACCTACCCACCCACCCACCTACCCACCCACCACCCACCCACCTACCCACCTACCCACCCACCCACCCACCTACCCACCCACCCACCCACCCACCTACCCACCCACCCACCCACCTACCCACCCACCTACCCACCTACCCACCTATCCACCTACCCACCTATCAACCTACCCACCTATCCACCTACCCACCTACCCACCAATCCATCCACCCATCCCACTCCGCTTCAGTCCTTCGCGCACTCCGTCTCGGTCCTTGCTTTTGCTTCGCCAGGCCGTCCAGCACCTGCCAGCCGAGCCCCACGTGAGAGTCCAGGTCCTAGCCCCCGTTTTGGTGGAAACAGGCTGGAAAAACAATTTGTACTTTTGGTGCTTTTCTTGCTGTTTGCTGTTTTTTGGGCTGTGATGTGTCGAGTTGCAGTTGTGAGCGGGGGAGGGGGGGGGGGTATGGGTGTTTTTTGTTTTTTTGAACCAAAAGGACACTGTTCTTGCCATTTCTTGGGTCTGTTTTGAGACAAATCCACCTGAATTCGGGTCCATTTTGACGCGCGCCATTCGGACCTTCCACGTGCGCGTCAACCGGCCTGTCCTGTGTTCTGTGCCCAATGAACGCGTGTCCGGTGCACCGGGAGAGAAATATCCCGTTGGGGGGTGGAAGGTGCGGATGTTCCGATGTTTGCAGAGAAGGCCCTGCTTGCTGGGGGGGTCCCTTCTGGAAAATCTGGTATGTCCAACCGAATCCGTGCTGCCGAATGGAGTGGGGAACGGTCTTCACAATATGGTGCACCCAAGTTGTCGCTTGCGGGAGCCCAAAGAACAACCCATTCTTGTGACAAACAGATTGCCCTAGGAGACATCCTCGAAACAGATGTTTCCACATTTGAGGTGCCGAACAAGGAACCGCGCACCCAGGAACCAGGCTGGGATGCTCCCAGATAAACATGGAACCCAAAACCCGTCCCTTTCAAAAACCCAACCCTTCACTTTCTCCGCATGAGTAGCTGCAAAGGAAGTCGAAGTCGAATCTACACCCTGCACTTTTGGTGGAAGCTGATATTTTTGGCGGTAAGGTGTGGCGACCTCCCCAAAGGGCAAGAACGAGGAAACCGAACGTGTTTTTGCTACCCGAAACAACTAGCTACAACTACCGATGTTTCCCATGTCCTACTGCCTTGGTTTCGAAACCAAGAGAAAAGAAATACGATAAATGATTGCGAGATCCATCCAACGGAATGATGGAACGATTCCCCCCTGTAATAGCGTGGACGAAATCCTTTCGCACCGTTCAGTTCAGCTACCCTACGGAATGTGTGGTGGTCCCCCCCCCCCACAAAACAAACGAACAACCAAACAAACAAACAAACAAACAAACAAACAAACAAACAAACAAACAAACAAACAAACAAACACACACACACACACACACACACACACACACACACACACACACACACACACACACACACACACACACACACACGTCCCTTAAGGCGAAGCCTTCACTTCTGGTGGGGATCTGGAGATTTCGATTTCCAGGCCTCCGGAGGGCTCGAGAGTGTTGCTCCTCGCTCTGTACCCCCGACTCAGACCCGAGGCCAATTTTTTAGTTGGCATCATTGGTCGACCCTCTTCTAAAAAAGGGATCTGTATTTACCCTTTAAAAAAACCCAAACCGGTTTTCCAAAACATAGCCTGGCTAAAAAGCTCCAAGAAGCTGGCTTTTCCGGCTTTTTCACTTTCCAAGCTTCTAGTGCTACCTTCCCCATTCTTTCCAGGGATCCTTCTTTCTAGAAAACCTCCGGAAACCCAGCGAAACGGCCAATTTTTGGAAAGAACGATGGTTGAAAAGAATGGGGAATCAACCCTTAGAAAGTTGACCCCCGTAACCTCCAAATACCCGGCCTTTTTTCTAGGGCTTTTTGAAAAACCGATCGGGTGTCCATGGTAAATACCTATTTTGTTAGTAGAGGGTCGACATCATACCCTAAAAAAAGGCCGGGCATTTGGAGGTTGCGGGGGGACACTTAAGGTCCGAGGGAAAGAGGGGGACTGCTGGAAGATGCCGCGAGATTTGGCGAAGGGAGATTCATCAACTTCCGTTTGCCTTTTGCCGAATCGGAACAAGTTTGGCATGAGGCCGACACTTGCCTTCATTTTCCGAACTCCTTCAGAACTTCCAAACGGTTACCCTTCCTCCAACTAACATGTCACCTGTGGGGAGGTACCTGGAAGATTGGTTTCCTTTTGAAGGGACCACCTCTCAGTGCCATGTTCGTGTGAGGGAGGCCAAGGACCACCAAAAACATGCATCCGTTTTCAAAGCACCGAGGATCGAACCTGAAAGCTGGCCTCTTTGACCCCTGTCGAAACCGCGAACAAAAAACACATCGGTGGGATGGGTGCCTCTGATGCTGCGGATTGGCAGCGGGAGGCGGACCCGTCCCCCTTTGGGGTTGATTGGCCTTGGCATACCCTCCCTTCTCACATGGAACCGTTCGACGTTCGGGGAATCGGGCCTGGTTTGGACCATGTTCCTTTTTAAAGGGACCGGGTCCCGAACGTCTGGTTCCTTGTGAAAAGGGTGGGAGAGTACTTTGATTAAACTACCTTATTACCGGCGAAGTAGACGGCACTCTTCCGTGAGAATGGCAGCAAAAGCACGGCCAGTTGCTTGGATGCTCTGGAAATTCCTCACTGATCCTGAACCTGACCTCTGTCTCCGCCAAAGTCCGGATGACCCCAGGTCACAACAGCCCCAGATTCAAGAATGGCAGCAAAAGCGAGCTGAGTTGCTTGGATGCTCTGGACGTTCCTCAGCTGCTCGTGCACCTGGCTGCTGTCTCCACCAAAGCATGGAAAGCCCCAGGTCACAACCTCGTGGCCATGCCAAGCAAACGCATTTGCGGTTGCAGCCAAATAGCCAAGCTGGACAACCGCAGTCACTGCGTCCCCATCTCGCAACCCGGCCTCGCTCAGCGTGGCTGTCGAATCGAGCTGCCGGCCTTTCGCAGTGAGCTTGAAGCGGCGCTGAAAGTGCTGCTGTGCTGCAGCCTTCAGCTCGCTCATGGGCGTCTCCGGTGAGATTTCTATGAAGCAGCCATCTCCACTAGGCAAGTGAACATCCACCTTCATGGCGAGGGAAGGTTCGTGCATGCGCATGCAAGTTGCCAAACGCGAAGCTGAAACACAAAACAGGAAAAGCCAACCTTTTAAATAGCATGTTCAGCGCCAACCGTTTGCGAGGCTTCAAATCTGATTGGACGGATTCGGACAGATCCTCGAGCTGAAGCAGATCGACATCGGAAGGCGATTCCTGGCAGACTCTGAGGAAGACCATGGCGACAGCAGCGCACTGGTCATGCAACGGAAACCTACTCCAAACGACCAGCCGTTTTTTGGACATCATGTCGAACCCTGACGAAGGAATCTACCATGGAAAGCCAGGTTGTTGAAAGAGCATTTTCCTGACATAGCCTTGAAAACAAGCATTCGAAGTAGGGGGGTAGCACCCGGAGGGCGCCCGACAAGGTCCGGAAAAATATCCGAAGTGTCACAAAGAGCAACTCGTAAGCCACGCCCTCGCAAACCGGACCCTGACAATGACTGGGTGTTCTTGTTGGTTTCTGTTCAAAACCCGCACCAAGAAGGGGGGTTCGGGCACCCCAAAAAAAGATGACCCCTGAAAAGTTGCAACTGAAAACAACAACCCTCTTCGTGTTGCCAGGGAGCTTCTTGAAGCCACCCAGCAAGCCAGAATTGTCGGCTTCCAGGATTCTTAGACATGTAACAAAACTCACAAATCTCCATTCAGGATTCCCGGAGTGAGAAACCTTCATGCGCTAGTCTGGCCATCAGGTTTAAGTTTGCCAGCATTTTGTTCAGTGCAAATCATTTGGGTTCAAATGGGACAATCCTGCCAAAATCAAAGCTTTGTGGGGGGCATCCCTTGTTATTTGCGAAAAGAGGAGAACCAATGCGGGCGGCTCGTCTTTCTTTGAACAACAAAGTGTACTTATTTTTATGGCTTCAAAAGGAAAACGAAAAGGGGAAAACCACACATGTTCAAAGGGTGTCCCCTAATAGAAGACACGCCTGTGTGGGTTGGTACTGTTAACTCCAAACTAATTCGGAGACACCCCAGATTTCCTCGTTCCATCACCCCGGTAGTTTAAAGCAAACACCCACTCCAAGCAACGCCTTGAGTGCGCCGATCATTCCCTTCTTTCAGCACAGTTTTAGCGCCTCAGATTTGCGCCATCAATATAAGAACAGTACCAAATCACCAGCTAAGCTGCTCTCGCACCTGGCTGCTGTCTCCGCCATAGTGTGGATGACCCCAGGTGACAACAGCCCCGGATTCAACAATGGCAGCAAAAGCACTTCCAGTTGCTTGGATGTGCTGGACGTTTCTCAGCTGCTCTTGCACCTGGCTGCTGTCTCCGCCATATCGTGGATCACCCCAGGTCACTACAGCCCCAGATTCAAGAATGGCAGCAAAAGCACTTCTGGTTGCTTGGCTGCTCTGGACGTTCCTCAGCTGCTCTGGCACCTGGCTGCTGTCTCCGCCAGCCCCTGGATCACCCCAGATCACAACAGCCCCAGATTCGAGAATGGCAGCAAAAGCGCCGTGAGTTGCTTGGATGCTCTGGACGTTCCTCAGCTGCTCGTGCGCCTGGCTGCTGTCTCCGCCATAGACTTGATCACCCCAGGTCACAACGGACCCAGATTCAAGAATGGCAGCAAAAGCACCATTCGCAGTTGCTTGGATGTACTGGACGTTCCTCAGCCGCTCTTGCACCCGTCTGCTGTCTCCGCCGTCGTTTGGATGTCCCCAGGTCACAACAGCCCCAGATTCAAGAATGGCAGCAAAAGCACTTCTGGTTGCTTGGATGTGCTGGACGTTCCTCAGCTGCTCGTGCACCTGGCTGCTGTCTCCGCCACAAGATGGGCTGTTCCAGGTCACGACAGCCCCGGATTCACGAATCGCAGCAAATGCCCCCCAAGTTGCTTGGATGCTGTGGACGTTCCTCAACTGCTCTTGCACCTGGCTGCTGTCTGCGCCAAAGTCTGGATCACCCCATGTCACAACACTTCCAGATTCAAGAATGGCAGCAAAAGCACCATTCGCAGTTGCTTGGATGCTCTGGACGTTCCTCAGCTGCTCTTGCACCTGGCTGCTGTCTCCGCCATAGTCTTGATCACCCCAGGTCACAACCGCCCCAGATTCAAGAATGGCAGCAAAAGCACTTCTGGTTGCTTGGATGCTCTGTACGTTCCTCAGCTGATCCTGAACCTTGCTGCTGTCTCCGCCAAAGCCCGGATGACCCCAGGTCACAACAGCCCCAGATTCAAGAATGGCAGCAAAAGCGAGCTGAGTTGCTTGGATGCTCTGGATGTTCCTCAGCTGCTCGTGCACCTGGCTGCTGTCTCCACCAAAGCATGGAAAGCCCCAGGTCACAACCTCGTGGCCATGCCAAGCAAACGCATTTGCGGTTGCAGCCAAATAGCCAAGCTGGACAACCGCAGTCACTGCGTCCCCATCTCGCAACCCGGCCTCGCTCAGCGTGGCTGTCGAATCGAGCTGCCGGCCTTTCGCAGTGAGCTTTAAGCGGCGCTGAAAGTGCTGCTGTGCTGCAGCCTTCAGCTCGCTGATGGGCGTCTCCGGTGAGATTTCTATGAAGCAGCCATCTCCACTAGGCAAGTGAACATCCACCTTCATGGCGAGGGAAGGTTCGTGCATGCGCATGCAAGTTGCCAAACGCGAAGCTGAAACACACAACAGGAAAAGCCAACCTTTTAAATAGCATGTTCAGCGCCAACCGTTTGCGAGGCTTCAAATCTGATTGGACGGATTCGGACAGATCCTCGAGCTGAAGCAGATCGACATCGGAAAGCGATTCCTGGCAGACTCTGAGGAAGACCATGGCGACAGCAGCGCCCTGGTCATGCAACGGAAACCTACTCCAAACGACCAGCCGTTTTTTGGACATCATGTCGAACCCTGAGAATTCTGCCAACGTTCGCCCGACACTTTTGGGACCCAAGGGGAAGGTACATAACCCCCGAACCTCCGGCACGACTATAAGTGAACATGAACTTCGAAGTCTTACAATCACTGGCACGTGGCTTAGCAGCGGCATCAAAACTAAGTCGAACAACTGAGCCACGTAAACCATATATGCGATCGCCGTAGAAGACGGGGTCCCAAATCGACCACAGAAGTAGGATGATGTGTCATGCGGACGGGTTCACAGTCGGATGCACGGCATAGCAGTGCAGTCCGTGGTGCAGGTCTCATCGCTGAAACGGCCGGGAGAGGTCACCAGCTCTACGAACAGGGCGGCGCGAAGAAAACCGCCGAAGCAGAGCATCCACAGCCCAGGTGTCTGGAGACAAACGGATCACTCCGCGAAGTGGCATCTGAAAGCCAAGGGCCAGGCGATTAATTGCCCACACACGAAAAGGCCCGAAAAAGAGAAGCAACATACCTCACCCTCACAGCAACAGAAAGCGAAGTACCATCATGGCCGTTTCCCTGGTTGGCTTCTGCCCACGGTGTATGGCCCGATGCCGGCACCGGATGCACCGGATGAGGCAGATCACAAATGTAAATGGCCGTCGCAAGCTCAACCCAAGCCACGCAATGCTGGAGGTGAGCTAGGCTATGCTAGTGAGCGCTCCGGGTCAGTGGGGCACAGGCAGGAGCCATCTGTGAAGATGTCGACGGTCTGGAAGTTGCCCTCAATCCTGGCGATCGTAGATCCGGTTCGGGAGCTCCTCAAGAGCATGCTTAACGTCCCGGAAGTAGGGATTTCGGCTGGGCAACAGGTTGGACCCCAGGGTGCCGGTCTCGTACTCCCGAAAGTTGAGGGCACGCTCAACAGTGATGCTCCATAGAGTCCGGTTGGTCACATGTGTCACAGTTAGGACCCTTGGCGAGGTCAAACTGCCCAGGACATTGCGCGTCATGAAAGACCCATCCCGGAGGGCATTGACCATGGTGGTCTTGAGGGTGTCTGCGGTCTTCTCCTTGCGGCTAGGAGGCCAATGGAGCCCGCCCAGGTCAGTTGGGCGGGTCCAAGATGGTTCAGTTGTTCCAGGATTTTGCCAAAAGGGCCGCTGCCAGGGCTCTTTCCGGATGGCGCTTGAAGTCCATGAAGGTCGTTCGGAGCTGGTAGTAGCCGGGGCCCAAGCAGGGATGATCGCCTCCGAGAGTAAGGCGAAGTAGTGGTTGCGATCCAAGTTTTCCAACGTGGTCTTCTGCAAGTGGTGCGATGGCAATGGCGTGGAACGCTGCGTGGAATGCTGCCAACCCGGAAGTTTCCAGATCAGGGCGTCTGGTGCAGTGGTGGCGCCCTGGTCGTTGAGGAGCTTGAGGTTCTCCAGAATGGCACGCTCCCTAAGCGCCTCAAAGAGGAAGGAGCCCGCGTCCTGCAGAGTGACGTACTCCTCCTCGAGGTGTCGAAGTGTGATGGCGACGCGTCCCGTGGGTTGGGGTGTTGTCTGCTTTTTGATGGCATACATAGGTAGGGGCGTAGGTGCCGGTGTTCTTGACCCATGCTCTGTAGGGGGACCTCACAATGCCCGTCCAGCAGGATTGGGCGAGAGCCCCATGCCTGATTGAGACCTTGGCGTTGCCCTTGAAGGAGAGGTCAACGTAGTTCTGCTCCGTATCCAGGATCCAGGCCCTGTAGAGGCGCTCTGGGTGGTGTGTTGAAAGTAGTGTTTTTGTAGTCCGTGATGACTGCGATCGGGGAGAGGGCGCTGGTGCCGTCGTGGTGTTGCTGCACTGCCCGGGCGAGATGCGCGTACACCCAAAGTGCTTGAAGAGGTGCTGCCGACTGTCCCAAAAGGCACAGGGCAGTTTTGAGTCCGGTGCCCAAATGCAGGGCGGGGCCAAAGGAGAGGAGAAAGCCCAACTCTTGGGCGCAGATACTTGTAGCGACCCGTAGCCACCGATTGCAGGTAGAATCCTCTGACTCCTCCTTGCCGTAGACGGTCCGGATTGAAGGCTCCCCGGCATTTGCACGGGCAAGGTCCCAATACCAAGCCATAGCTGCGCAGAACCACCGGGCAGGGCTGGTTGAGGTCCAACACACGTTTGTCAGCTCCGTAGCCAGCTCGTGGTTCCGGATATACAACCCGTAGGGGTCCAGGGGCAGCCAGCATTTGAGTGGAACAGATGGCAGTCCTGTTGGCGTGAGTAGGCACCACCATCTGGTTCTCCGTGCCGGCCATTGAAAGTGCAGGGGCAGCACGACCGGCTGCACTTTCCAGCCCATAAGCTCCGCAATGCTTGAGGTATACATTCAAGGCGGAAAGGATGCCCTTGTCATCCATGCGAGTAGAGTGGCCCAAACGCCTTCGATGCGGTTGTCAAGAAAGGCCTGGCCGGTCTCCTGCTGAAGGGTTGGCAGGGGAAGGCGGAGGTGACCCCAGCTGGGTCAGTGCCTCCCGCTTCATGAAGTTCTCTGATGGTCTTGTCGAGCGTGATGTCCCCGCAGATGACCTGGCCGTGGATGTTGCAGCGAAGCTGCGCCGCTGCGGCCTGGTTTTGTCAACCGCCGCGCACACCACTGCTCCAAGCTGCTGGCAGCCTTTGCCGATGCACAGATTTCTCTGACGCGCCGCCAGTCCCTTGTGGCACTCGGATGGTGTGGGATGAACACCGTGTCCTTGGTGGCTATCATGGTCGGCAGCTCCATGTCCGTGACCTGCAATGAGCTCGGTCACCGCATCGGACTCAAGGACCAGATGCCGATGCACCACGTGGTCACGCTCCATGCGCGCTCACTCCCAAAGTCAGCCGCCCCAGCTCAACCGTGGGGGGGTCTTGGGCCAGAGCTAGGATGATGTGTCAAAAAAACGGATGTCCGCTTTGGTTTGTGGTCAGGTGTAGGGTGGGCTCAGGCTTTACGCTGGGCTTGGGGGCGGTTTAGGCTTATTGCCCTTGTGGTTGTCCTCTAAAAACCAACGAAACTCAGGGTCCATACTATACATGTTAACATACATACCTATATGATCATTTATATAGATATATATATATATATATACATGTATACATTTAAACCGACCAAAAACGGGCCCCGCCGACCACGACAGAAGAAGGAAACCGCGCTCCTGAAAGCTTTCCACCCACCGGGAAGACTCGGCCACCCGCGTGCGCCACAGCCGGAAAGCGAGCGCCAAACACGTCCTCCGGCGGTTGCGGCTCAGCGGTGGCCAAAGTGGCGAGGCCCAGAGACTCGCTGGGCTTCTTCCATTTGCGTTTTCGCCCCCCCCCCCCCCCCAAAAAAAATAAATAAGCTCGGGCGATATCCCCAACAGCACCACACCCTCCCAGAATCCTCGCGGAACGCCCTGAGACCATCCTTACCGCCGGTGTTGATGAGGATGCCGCCTTGTAAAGCAAAGCTACGAGTGACAGCGCAATCTCGCCGGATCGGGGCCCGACGGTGCAATCGGGGCCCAATCCCGTGGTGCAACGCCAGCCACCCATATTATAGCTCAACGCCGGTTTTCCTTAGCATGCGGATTGCAACTGGATCTAGAGCAAAACTAGGCGATGCCAGCTTGGTACAATTGACGGGGCCCGACTGAGTCGGGCCCCGATCGGGGCCCGACGGCGCAATCGGGACCCGATCGGGGCCCGACGGTGCATATTATAGCTCAACGCCGGTTTTCCTTAGTATGCGGATTGCAACTGTATCTATAGCAAAACTAGGCGATGCCAGCTTGGTACAATTGACGGGGCCCGACTGAGTTGGGCCCCGATCGGGGCGCGATGGCGCAATCGGGGCCGATCGGGCCCAAACGGTGCAATCCGACAGTGCAATCGGGCCCCGACCTAGGCCCGGTGGCCCGGTGAACCTCGCAAACCGTTCTCACGTGGAGCTCAGCGTGAAACTTTGCTGGAACCTTTCCTCAGGGCTGCCCCATAGCTTTTGAAGAATTTGGGTGGGAACCTTCTGACCTCATAGCCCTCGCAGCCTCATGGAATTCTTGGAACCCAAAGCCCACCAAGCAGCAATGCCAAGCATTTACTCTGCTGCACCGTGAGTTCCGCAGCGACGTGATCTGATTTGCCACAAAGCCAACATTTGCCCGAGCAAGTGAGCAAGTCACAAAACAGTGAAAGTGTGCTAAAAACCATTGATTTCGGTTTTGCTTAGTGTTCCGCCCATGAGCAAAGCGATCTTGATCCGATGGCTTTTCAGACCACGGGCGCACGACACACCCTTGGTGGAGCATTGTGGGGCCTTGTGGAACCCGTGTGGAATCCTTGCAGAGCTTTGTGGAACCCTGTGAAACCTCAGGGCCCACAGCCCTTGCAGAATCTTGTGGAACCCTGAAACCCTCATACAACCTTACCTCAAACCACCCCGGACCACCCCGCAGCCCTCGCAGAACCTCGTGGGACCCTGCTAGAACTGTGCTGGAATGGAACCTTACCCAGGAATTCTGGTGGAATTCTCATGGAACATTACCTCAAACCAGCCCGGACCGCTGGTGGAACCCTGGTGAAACCCTGGTGGAACCCTCGTGGAACCTTCCCCGGACCACGCCGCACCCTCGAAGAAATTGGTGGAACCCTGGTGGAACCCTCGTCCGGAGCACGACGGGCTGGTGGAACCCTGGCGGAAACCTGGTGGAACGCTCGTGGAACCTTACCTCAAACCACCTCGGACCACCCTGCAGCCCTCGCAGAACCTGGTGAAACCCTGGCAGAATTCTGGTGGAAATCTGGTGGAACCCTCGTGGAACCTTCCTCAAACCAGACCACCCCAGCCCTCGAAGAAATTGCTGAAACCTAAACCACCCAGACCACCCCGCATGGCGGAACCCTCGTGAAACCTTCCTCAAACCCGCAGCCCTCGAAAAAATTGGTGGAACCCTGGTGGAACCCTCGTGGAACCTTACCTCAAACCACCCCAGACCACCCCGCCCTTGCAGAACCTGGTGGAACTCTGGTGGAACTCTGGTGGAACCCTGGTGGAACCCTGGTGGAACCCTGGTGGAACCCTGGTGGAACCCTGGTGGAACCTTGGTGGAACCCCTGGTGGAACCCTGGTGGAACCTTAGCTCAGGGTCGCCCCGAACCACCCGGAGCCTATCTGGGCTGAGACCCCAAAGCTTTCAGCTGTTGGGGAAAAATAAAGTGGATGGTTGCGAAATCCGTTGCGCAATCCACTTTGAAACCATGGTTGAAACCATTGCTTGTTGGTATTTACGGGGAATCAACATTCCAGGGTTTCTTAGGTGGTGCAGGATTTTCTCTATCCACAGTATGTCCAGTAGTGATAGATTCCCTTTGAAACCAACAAGGCAAAATAAAAGCATATGGCATATGATTAAGCAAATGAAAGGTTTGAGGGAGAAAGATGGCAAACCCTGAAAAGGGTCCGGGCATTGTTGGCAAGGGCAAAGTTTGCACCCCTGAAATGCCACCAAGAATGATGGACATGTGCAAATTAAGGCCACTTTCCTCGCGGAACAGGCGCACTTTCTCACCCATCCTTGGCTCATATCCGTGCGTGTGGGGGTACTGGCAAGCTCACCAGTTCAGTTCAGCGCAAGGGAGCATTTGAGAAATGTGTTTACACCCTAAGCCCCGGTTTCAGGTGGATCTTGACCGGGGGCGAGGGGGTGGTCAAAACTGCACCGAAAAATGTGTTTCTCAAATTCCCCAAAAAGAGGCCCACCTGCAGCTTCCCCTTCGTTTGCGCAAAGTCAATGCGTCTCTTTACGGTCACTCGGTTGCTTTCTGCTCCCCTGCAGAAAAGTGACTAACTTTTAGCGGTTTAATACGGAAACCCCATCAGTTGGCAAAAAGTTAAAGTCCTAACATCCCTTGGCAAAATGCACCAAAGGTCACATGGATTCACCCCTCGATACTGCACAGCTGCGCCGCCGAGGCTCCGCGGACTTCACACTGACCGGACTGGAATTAGGCCCCCAGCAAAAAAACTATTTTGCCTGGTTAGTGGAAAACAAAGGGACCCCAAAAAAGAAAACAAAGAAGAAGAACAAAAAAGGGAGCTAATTCTGGGGAAGTGACGTGGCAGAAAAGCGTGGTCCACGAACTGCACATGGCGGGAGTGTAGCTTGGAGAAGCGCCATTTCAGTGCATTTATAGGGAGGGCTGCTTTTCCCTAGTTAGAAGCTACCAGAAGGAAAGTTGACAACCAAGGGCTGATGCTTATACTGCACCCCAAAGCGGAAATCTACTACTTAAACCAAGACTCAAAACCATGAAACCGGGAAAACACGAGGCTTTTCGAAGTTTGAAAACGCCATCCAAAGTCGATGGTTCTTTCGACTTATCACCCAACCAGTCTTCAGCTCCTCTTGAAGCGGGCCGTGGCCGCCCGCGCTTGTAGGAAGTCATGGGGCGTCGGAATCACACCTCCAGTGGATATGCATGGATCTGCATGTGAATGGGACATATCATTTCGGTGGTCAAACGAGGAAACGAAAATACCTGTCCACCAAGCATCCTGAAAAAAAGTCCCTCCTTTCAGTTTCGGGAAGGGTCTAGGTGAGCCTCCGGGAGGTGGTACATGGTCTTCATGTCAAAAAAACTACAAGAATCATCAAAAGCCGCGAATTCTTGCCACGTAGCCATATGGGTGTGGCTCAACATTAAAGAACCAAGGATACGCAGGTCTTAGTGTTTGGTTCCATTTACCAAGGTGCGATGTTTGGTACATCTTTTTGAGCTAGCCACAGCCATATGCCAAAACCTTGTCTTTGGTTGCACAAATTCACAAGGCCCCAAGGTTTTGAAAGCTCACATTTTTGAGTATGTCAAAAGCAAGAACCACACCCCGAACTGGCAGCAGGAACAAATTGCCGTCTTGAAGACGTGGCTCTGTGGCTGGGCAAGGCTTGCCAAGTATCCAGCACTATCACACATCCCAAATGTCTCATCCTATCATGAAACGCGAGCACGTTCATCCAGACGTGATGGAAAATGCCCTTGCATGCCAAAAGGCGAACATGTGGAGTGGCCACCAATCCTTGCAGATTCCTCTCGAGATGACCCCGCTCGTGGCATGCTGTCCGCCCAACCCGTACGCGTTGCTCACTGCACTGCCAAATTCCCCCGTTGTTTTTGTTCGTGCAAGCGCTTCAAGGCGTTCTTCCCTGACGTCATGCTCAAACATCCCATCATATGAGTCATAATCAAAACTCGGTATTCAAATGGTCTACCCAGAACCATGCTTCAAGAATTAAGAAGGCGGCCGCAACTATTTCTGGCTAGGAGTCTTCCTTACTAACCTCCACCTACCCGGGTTTTGATTGTGGCTCATATCAACATCAAGAGCAAACTGTATAATGTGTGCAATCTGCCAACCCAAGCAGTAGACATAAAATGACATAAGACAAACAGGACCTGTCACTGCAGTTGTCGTCCAAGATCCATCACAAGTTTCAAAGTATGGTCGGTGTCAACAACAGGTTAATTACCCGGATGAACGTACATGCCTTAGATGCTATAACAAATATAAAACAAATAACTTTCCTGCTGTGTTCATCTTCTGCGATGGAAGAGGTACATTCATTTCAATCTGCTGTAGGAATGTGCCAAAGGTTGGCTTCGTGTCGCCGTTTTTCAGCACGGTTCCGAAAACAGACCCAGGTTCTGTCAAACAATGTAGCCACCAGGAATGACAGCTGCCTGGTTCTTTCAGCACCCCGTTGGTTTGATCGGCTCATTGGACCAAAGGGGATGAGCATCAAAAAACAGTTATTTGGCTGTGGGTCAAAACCCAAGGTACCCCTGGTGAACATCAAACAAATTGTGGCAAATGGGATGTTCACCCACCCCAAAATGGGATCGCCATAGGTTTTGCCCCGGTCATTTCGGGGATCAAAAAGGAACTATGACCCTGTCCTCTGGTCTCTTGGTACCCACCCGGACCAGTTGTGCAATAGCTGATCTCCCTCTCTCACAGTGATCCGGATGCATGAAAAAACACCTAAACATGGCCTGCCTGGTTTTCTGGTGGGTTGTCCAACTTTATTTTGGTGTTGAATGGAAAAAGCGTCACATGTTTCAGGACCAGGCTGTGTTTGTCCAAAACGCTGGTCTTAGAGCACGACCCGAGATGGAAATCCACCAAAAAGCCTCTCAAAACCTATCGTTTCAATTGGGCGCGTTGAAATGTTCAAATGAAATTGAACAACATGAAATTCCTTTTATTGTGGTGTCCAACTTGTTTCAAATGGTTTTGCCTGCAAGATGTATTTTTCTCTTTTTAAGGAGCCCTGCTCCCACCTCCGAGCCTTGCCAGAGAGGCATGCAGCTGTCTGGAGTCGCAGGATGACCCGAGCTGACCCGAAACCACAGTAGCATAGGTGTCCTTTTAGAAAAAATCGATGGATATCCCTGGATGATTAAACCACCAGGTAAAGGAACCGAGCCCATCTATTGTTCCACCAAAACCACCAAAAAGGACACCTATGCAGCTGCTACACTCAGCACAGCCGGAAGCCCCCAGAACGCCTCTGTGGAGCCAAGTCTTTTTAAAGTTGTGGGTCCTGGGAGCTTCCATGTCGGCCTGGGGGAGGGCCAATGGTGACCCCAGAAGCAACCCCTGTCTTTATTGATAGGGGGTGGGCCCCCTCCAACAGTCTGATTCCAAGCACGAGACACCCAAAAACACCGCTGGGATCCACCTGATGTATGGACCTGTGGACTTGGGTTGAACAGCTTGCTCGGAAGTTGACAAAGGGCTCTGCTGAGATGAAACGACTTTGAGGGCTCGGTCAGGTTCCACGCACGTGAGGGAGATTTGACGGATCACAAATCAAAGAACGGTGGCTCCTCAATCTGACGGCGTCAAGGTAATGGCAGATCGCAGGCAAGTTCAAATATGATAGGAACGTCACTTGTTGTTGGCGCAGAATAGAGCAACCTACCATACACGGCTCGCAGAAGAGGGAGCAAACGTGGTTTGCAGATGCCAAGGTGTGACTGCAGATGAAAACAGGGTCCTTGGCCACCCTTCTTTTGCAGGGTCCCTACATTCTACACCTGAGCATTGCCTTGCAAATGGTGGCTTCCCTTTATTTTGGTGTTGAAAAAGCCATGTTTCAATTGGACAAACTGTATCTTTTAAGGAGCCCCGTTTTGGACCAGGCTATGTTTGTCCAAAACGCTGGTCTTAGAGCACGACCCGAGATGGAAATCCACCAAACAGCCTCTCAGAATCGATCAAGTCAGCGTGATGGACCTGCCAAGAACCACAAACCATGGGTTTTCTTCAGTTTCCAAGTCTTGGTTGCTGCAACGACCCCCCTGCCAAAAGTGAATCACTGTTTGGGGGTCTAGTGGAAAACCCAACTTGATTTCCACCGAAAAGATCTAAAGTCTAAAGATCCGTTGCCCAAAAGATCCGCCAAGAAGTCTTCTTCCCAGCTTCGCGAGATGGGCCGGAATTTCCAGGATCCCCACTCAGGTCCCAAGCGTTTGGCTTGGAGGTCGCGGCCAAAGGTGGCCCTTTTCATCGAAAAAGGGACGGGAGACCAAAAGGAACACCACGAGTTTTGAGGGGACGAGGAAATTTGAGATGATCGAAAGGCCCTCGTTCTTTGAAGACGCTTTCAGCCGCAGATTTGCGCCATCGATGTCAGTACAGCCCCAACCTCAGGTGCGGCTGCTCTTGCACCTGGCTGCTGTCTCCGCCGTTTTGTGGATCACCCCAGGTGACAACATCCCCAGATTCAAGAATAGCAGAAAATGCCCCCTCAGTTGCTTGGATGCTGTGGACGTTCCTCAGCTGATCTTGCACCTGGCTGCTGTCTCCGCCACAAGATGGGCTGCCCCAGGTCACAACAGCCCCGGATTCAACAATGGCAGCAAAAGCACTTCCAGTTGCTTGGATGTGCTGGACGTTTCTCAGCTGCTCTTGCACCTGGCTGCTGTCTCCGCCATATCGTGGATCACCCCAGGTCACTACAGCCCCAGATTCAAGAATGGCAGCAAAGGCCACGTCAGTTGCTTGGATGTGCGTGACATTCCTCAGCTTCTCTTGCACTTGCCTGTTGTCTCCGCCGCAGTCTGCGCGACCCCAGGTCACAACAGCCCCGGATTCAAGAATGGCAGCAACAGCACCGACAGTGGCTTGGATGTTGCTCAGCTGCTCTTGCACCTGGCTGCTCTCTCCGCCATTCGCTGGATCACCCCACGTCACAGCCCCAGATTGAAGAATGGTGGCAAAAGCACTTTCATTGCTTGGATGCTCTGGACGTTTCTCAGCTGCTCTTGCACCTGGCTGCTGTCTCCGCCAACTCGTGGATAAGCCCTGGTCAAAATCATATTGGACTTGCAAAGGGATTACGGCTCCTACAAGTAGGCTTTGAGAGACTTGAAGCAGAAAAATACTTTCTGGACACTGCTCAGTTGGGTCGATGGTTGTCAAGTCTCTGGCCGACTCATGTGTGTATGTGTGCATGCGTGTGAGACAGCGAGCATGGTTGAGCCAGAACATACACAGAACAGGGTTTCAAGCTGCCGCGAGGTCAGGACATGTGAAGACTCTCAAATTGAAGGAGGTATTAAAGCTCACCTGAAATCCACATTGAGAGTCACTGAGTTCCCTAGTAGCGGAAGGGAAGAACAAGGGCAATGAGCCTAAGTGCGTGAAAACCAGAAACTAGGAAAATGGGTAGAAGTACCAACTTCCAAAACGCGCTTGGTGCCAAAGGTCCGCACGAAAGCAGCTGAAAAATGATCAACGCAGAATGAGAAGAGCACACCCGGAGCCGGTTGTCTCTTTTCACACCCACGCCTCCCTCTCTCACTCCCTCACGCCCTCACTCACTCCCTCACTCACTCCGTCACTCCCTCAGTCACTTCCCCCCGCTGTCCGGCCTCCATTTCCTCAACTTTGCGGCCGGCTTGGCAGGAGAGCCAAACGTGCTGCGCGCTCAGTGCAAGACTCGTTGCCCTCAGGGGATCTTTCTTTTCGGGTACGCAGCTAGGCAAGCCCCTGCTCATGAGCCTCTTACTTGTTTGCTTCTCCTCAGCTTCCTCGGTGACAAGGCTACGGGCAAAGGAGAGCAACCAAAGGAGAATACTGGCGCAACTCAACTGCCGCCTACCTTTCTATGTAGGCTCTGCTCCGTATCCTGTGCAGAAGTTTGACATGTTTTCGGTACATGGCAAGTTCCAGGCTGAGGTGTTGCTTATTTTTCGGCACAGCCCTGGCATTAGCCTAACCCTGGCACAGCCTAGCGCGCACCAAAGGGCGGCATTTAAGTCTACAATTTGGGGTGTCCAGGGGGTGGGGCAGGGTACATTTGTGGTAAGCTTGGGGTTGGTTAAGGGTGGGTCAAGGGCGGGCTTAGGGAGGCTTCGTGAACGTAGCTCCATGGAACCAAAACCTAACCTACCCTAAACCCACCCTGCACCCACCAGAAACCTAGCCTAAACCAAGGTTGGTTAAGGGTGGGTCAAGGGCAGGCTTAGGGAGGCTTCGTGAACGTAGCTCCATGGAACCAAAACCTAACCTACCCTAAACCCACCCTGCACCCACCAGAAACCTAGCCTACACCAACCCTAAACCAGCCCTGAGCTTACCACAAACCCGCAGACCTACCCGAAACCTACCTGTAGCCCACCCTGAATTGTAGACCTAAAATGCCCTTTGGTGCGCCAGGTTGTAGGAGGCCGGCCAACCAGCCAACCAAGCCCCCAACCCACCAACCGGAACCCACCGCCAACCGACCAACCGCCTTGCAGGGCTAGCCCTGTGCCAGGCCTAAGCAAAAAGAAGAAACACCCTTTCCACGCATGGCCAACAAGAACACCCATGGAACATGCCCAGCCTCAGGTGTCAAATCCTTTCTCCCCCAAAAAAAGACGGAGAAAAAAAGCAACTGCGGTCATGAGAAGCCCCATGTTCTCAGTTGAAAAACTCCTTTTACCAAGCCCTCTGCGCCGGGCCGGCGGCGCCCGCAGAATCTCTCTGAGCTCCGAAATCTCAACGACTGCAAACCTCACTCCGATCTCCAAAGGAAACTCCCCAGGTGGGTGTGGGTCAAAATGAAACCACCAGGGGACCGCAGGTTTTAGTCCTTGGTTCCATTTACCAGGGTTTCATTTTGGGTACCCTATTTTTGACCCACAACCAGGTATTCCCATGGTTCTTCACGCGGCGCTTGGTTGCGCGCTTGTGGCCTCCACTTGCGGGCCGCCAGTTGAAATCGATTTCAAGCAAACGAACCCAGATCTCTGGCGAAACAACCCATCTGGCGATTCAACGATCGCCGGAATGCACCTCGAAGCTCGAGGAAGGACCACCATCAGTGTCAGCTCTGAAAAACACTCTATTGACCTGGGAGGCTCCTCCATTTTTTGGGGTATCCGTATCCCACTTTGGTTGGTGGCTTCAAAGGGAAACCAAAAGGACACCGATGCCACGCGGCATCTCCCCAAATTCCCCCGCCGCCAGCTCTGCCTCGAAGTTCTTGCGGTACTCCTCTGTGCTGTAGACCTCCACCAGGTCCTTCCAAACCCTTTGGATGCACCCAAGTGGCTGTTCTAGGGGTACCTTCCATTTCCATTCTTTCCAGGGATCCGAATCTTTTCAGGAAGCCGGTTTTTAAGAACAAAAAGAAGCATGAGATGTACATTCCGCATTCAGTTGTCATGAAAAGATGCTAATGGAATTGATATAGGATCGATAAAGCTTGCAAAGCATGGCTTAGCCAGGAGTGTGCACCCGCCGTGCAAAACAGACAGACAGACGAGGAGGCAGACACAAGCCTTGACCCCCAACTAGGCCTTTTGCAGGCAGGTTTGGCCAGCTGCCGCGTTCAGCGGGATTGCCTCAGAGCAATTGAACAAATCTTCATCCTGAAAAAAACACAGGATTAGTCAATTTTGCTGTTAAACTCAAGCACGGGTGCTGGCATGCATCAAGTTCATCTGTTGATTGCTTTTAATTTTGAAAAGAACGATGGTTGAAAAGAATGAAATCGGAATCAACCCCTAGAGCTGTGTCTGTCTTTCCCCTAAGGCAGCTCCCAACATGCGCTCGTTGTCCTTTGTCATAGTTTAGTTTCCCTCCCCCATCGTATCCCCCTCCCAAATGTCAATTTTCTCAGTAGGACCCACCGAGTGTTGATACGGAGGGGGGGTTAACTAACCTATGACTTGGGGTTTGCCTTTCAAACCGGCAAAGAAGGCGCACCTGCACAAGAAGAAAGACACGCCCCAATCTCACTGCTCTTCTGGAGATGCCTCTCTTCAGTCGAGACTTGTGTCGCTTCTCAGACTATTGCCGTCGATGGACAAAATCCATGCCAATCGATCGGTGGGGATGGATGAAGCCCCCTCGCCCCCCCCCCCCCTTCCCCCCCTCCCCCCTCTCCCCCTCCCCCCCCTCCCCCTCCCCCCGCCCCCAAAAAAATTCCCCCCCCCCCCCCCGGACCCATGAAAACTGCTTGATTCACCTACCAGGAACTGACCAAAGTCCAAAGGACCAAAGGACCTGCAGACCGAAAGCCGTCGATCTCTGCAATTGCCTGAAAATTGTTTGCAACTCGGTGGTGCCTTTTTGCGGGGAAACGAAAGCTGCCCCACATAAAACTTCATTTCTTGGATAAACTGCCAACCGTGTTCCAATCTAGCACGACTTTCGCCTACCGCTATGCAATAATTATCAACTTAGCAAGTTGCAGAGCTCATCTGATCGTTTCTATTTGCGGTGCAAGGCACCGAAGCCAATCGAGTTTCGCCGGTAGGCGAAGGAAAGAAGGCTTGAAGAAACACCCCTGAAGAGCTATCAACCACTTCCATTTGCGTTTTCGCCCCCGAGAAAATATGTATATATATATATATATGTCCAGTAGTCATAGATGCCCTTTAAAACCAACAGGGGAAAAATACAAAACATTCTCAAGCAAATGGAAGACCAGAAATTGATTCTCCAAAAGTGTGGTAATTTCCTCCGAACTATAGATTCGAGCAGTCGCGTTTCCGCGAGGAAACGAACCAGTCCTTGACGAGGCTCCAAACCCGGCCTCGGGAGAAACACGCGAATTGATCTTCAGTCTCCCTCAAAAAATACATACAAAACCCACCTGACTTACCTGGGCTGCCCTCAGATCCCCCGCTAAAAGTTTAACCTTTAGTGGGTCAAATGGAAACTACAAGATCCTCCAAATCATCTGGTCAAAGTGTTGCCCGACATCTGCCGAGTGCGGGAGATGTCCGGCTTTGAGTCTTGGCTTGGACCTGGTCAAACCACCCCCTCTTCCCAAGGCCCATGGACGCCTTTGGCGCAGATCTCAGCACCCGGGCTGACGCGCTGCTGCAGAAGATCATTCTTCTGGTGGAAGGTGAAGTTGATGACGAAAACGCGGACCACCGGCGGGGTGGCGTCTCCTCATGCCAATTGCAGAAAAAACAACTGTGTGAAGCGAAATGAAAACGTGCATGTTGGTTTTGCTCCCAGGTGAGCACACATTGGTGAAGATATATGGCCATGGGTCAAAATCCCGTACCCCCGGCGATGGGTGGTAAAATGGCACCATTGGTTTTGACCCACAGCCATGTGCCAACGAGAAGGACCCATCCCATTTGGCATATTTGGGCATGCCGGAGTTGTGCAGTTTGCGCGTGATCTTGATAGGTCGAAGCCTCTGTCCAGCAGACCTGGTGCAGCATTGCTTTTCGCATGGCACAAACCGAAGATGGACAAAAGATGAGGCCACACCCAACGCTTGGCTCACTGTTCTGAGTTTTCAATCGTCCAAAGGTGCCACCCACCTCTAAAGCGATGTCCGCAAAGCAGAATTCGGTGCGGACGGCACCATCTAGGAATCCCTGCAGGGTCGCTGCTCTTGCTAGAGGGGCCCCGGTCCACTAGCCCAACAAACATACCGCCGGAACACCCAGTTTGGACATGTGGCAAACTAGGAACCTATGGGAGCAGGGAAGGAAAGCAGCTATGAAGGGGCTTACAAATTCCTTCGGTCCATTCTGTCTAGTCATTCCGAAATCAGAGGGCAGTCCATGGATTTACATTGGAACCCCAGGTTTAAAATATATATATATATATGTAATAATAATAATAATAATAATAATAATAATAATAAACAAACAAAAAAGGTATTTGGAGGTTGCGGCGGTAGTCAATCCGAGAGAGGGCATTCACAGTTACGAGCCTTGCGCTGAGCGGCGCTCTTGGAAGAACATCTCCTCGGGCACGGCGTTGTCGGGCGCGACGTCCGCCACCCGGTGCTCACGCAGCACGCTGTTGGCCTGCGGGAGCGAAAGAGCGAAAGCAATCAAGGCATGAAAAAAGTGCTGACTCAATGCAGCGGATGTGTCCTGGTTTGCTTGCTTGCTTACTTGCTTGCTTGGTTGTTTATTTGTTGGTTTGTTGGTTTGTTTGATTGATCCTTCGTTCGTTCCTTCACAAACTGTTGCTTGTTTGACAACACAGCCGCCCCTTATTGTGCTTGAAGGGAATCAATATGGCTGTGAGTGAAAAAAAAATGGGTGCCCAAGATGGCTTGCCCTGGCTAAATGGAAATAAGGACCTCTGATAAACCATTTGGGATGGCCGCCAGTTTCGACACCTCCAACTCTGGAAAGCCAGTCGACCATCCGCAGGTGCGTCTTGTTTCCATCCCCTTTGCGCTCGTCAAGGCAGAAAAGGTGTGTCTTGTTTCGGCGCTGGTTGGGGAAACCGGTTTTAAAGGGAAACCAAGAGGAAACCGCTGCTTTTTGATTTGAGGGGGGAAGGGTGGGCCAACCTTCAAAGAGAGAACACCCATTTGAGGGACAGGTACGCTAGCGTCTTGAACACCCCCAACTGGCAAGCCAGATGTCCCGTACCTCCGGAGTTTCCCATATACAAGCCCTAGGGTTCGTTGCCCCCATCAAAAGAATGATTCAAGGGGACCCAATTTGGATGATGAAACTCCTGCGTACATTCTGGCGGCAAGTTTTAACCCCCTTTGTTTTAATGGTGGTAGCTGAAACACCCAAGGTTTGCAGTTGAATTCGACCACACAAGCCCCTTTATTGTTGTGTTTATGGGAGGTGCCTCCTACCTGTTCGCTGGGATTGTTGATTCTCAGGAACCCGGAAAAACACATGGCGGGAACAGGAACCCTCTTCCACGTCCACCAATGTGGTTGGTTCGCTTCAGGAATCACATGAGAAACCCTCCAGACCTATCTCGGTTGCTTTCTGCTCCCCTGTTAAAAGTTTAAGTTTTGGTGGTTTGATGGAAAACCCAATAGTTGGCAAAAAGTTAAAGCCCTATCATCCAAGCAAAATGCAGCAAAGCTATACGTGCAAGCTAGAGTTCCAGCCCTTGCCCGCTCGCCTTGAACATCAGCTGTGCCACATCCACATCTTCTTGCCGCCGTGAGTCTGCAGCCAGGGCTTTCCTGGCACCGTCAAGCATGCGGACATGCATGCCAAGCCAACCAAAAGATCCCGCGAAACCAACAAAAACAAGGCGGGGAGCAACGGGGCTTAGGTTGGCTCAGAAAACTTTTGAAGAGCACAGTGTCGGATTTGTCTCTGGGCTTTGCTTGGCTGGGTGAGGGCTTCTGTGCTTCGCTTTGCGTTGTGTTGCTTTGCTTTGCTTCGCGTTGTTTTGCTTAGTTTCACATTGCGTTGCTGTGCAGTGCTTTGTAGTGCTCTGCTGTGCTTTGGCTTGCTCGGACCCAAACTGAAAAGAACACCGAGAAAGGAAATGAAAAGCATGGGAGCGTGGCTTGTTTCACCCCCCCAAATGAAGGGAATTCAAACCTAGTACTAAAGAGTCTACCCAAAGGCATGTAAACAACCAAACGGGGCGCACCCATACAAATCCGGCTAGGCCCATCCCATGCTCATGTTCGTTCACTTCGTGCTTGAATCGGGGAAGAAAAAAAAAGGTCCCCGGCTTCTCTCGGAACTTGCAGTTGGAGCACTGACTGCTTCACGTTGACCCCTCATATCAAAAAGAGCCTATTCAGGCCGCCTTTTTGGAGGAAAAAACGCAAAAACAAGCAAAGGACTTCCCACCCAGCGGGTCACCTCCCTGGCCTGAAGGCAAAGCCCAGCGGGCCATCCTTCGGCGCCCGGACCTCCGCGCCGCCGCTCCCGCTGCTGTCCTGAACCCAAACACTCCCCCACTGCGCCTCCGCGCGCACCCGGCGACGCGTTTTGTTTTTTTTTTCTCTCCGAAAGGTCGACTTTCGCCTTTCGCCGGGCGGGCGGAAGGCGGCGCAATGCGGCTGGCGGGGATCGCCCGAAGCTGGGGGGAGGGGGGGTCCCATGGCTGTGGCTCCAAGTTAAAGAGCTACGGCAAACCGCGGGTTGTAGTCTTCGGCTCCAGTTACCTTTTGGTGCCATGTTAGTACCACTTTGGGCCACAGCCACGTGGTTTCACTGGAAGCGGAGCCTTTGCTGAACATCATGAAGTGGCCAGTTCCTGTGCCTCCCGTACGGTGCCGTCCCCCAAACAACCCGGAAAAGGTTCTAGGAACCGCCCATAGAGCACTTGTGAATCTTCATTCGGTACCCCTGGGTAAACACTCAGCTGCCCAGCGGATTTCCATGAAACAACAGAGAACATCGATATGGCTGTGGCACAAAAAAACGGTACCAAAATGGAACCCTGGTAAGTGGAAACATGGACCAAAACCTGCGTAACCCCTCCTGGTTAATTTTGAGCCACACCCACATCGCGACAACTTTGCTTCGCTGTTCCAACGGCTCGGACCCACTGCTCAGACCGGCGGCATGTGCTTTGGCCGGCAGACGGCTCCTGGAAGATGAACGAGCCCAAACCCGTGAACGGCAGGAGCGCCTGGCCGGCGTTTGACACGCGTCTTGAAGCTGAAAAGGTGCTCCCGGTTGTACTTTTTAATACACAAAATACAAGTGATGCTCAAAACAGAAGAAGAACACATAATGGGTTGGGTGGTGCATATCACATAAAGAACAAGAAAAAGTGTGTGTTTAATGAAAACCCTACCCAATAGCTTGTCAAAGAAAAAGTCATTTCATTTGGGAGATTTCTCGTATGGTACCGCAGCAGCACCCGTGCTTAATCGCAGCCCTCCGCGGATGAATCGGCAGGAAAGCAATCGTCTGAGCTTTGGCTGGGCTCCAAGGAAGTGGTGCTCGTCTATTTCGGCTTCTGTTTTGCACCAAACATGGAAGTGCACAGACTCGATCCTTTTCCAAAAGGAAAGTAGTCTTCCAAACGGGGCCTGTGCAACCCTGACGCTTTTTCGTGCCGCCTGGCTTGTTTACTTCAAAGAGAAGGTACCTTCCTTGTTGGTTGGTTAGGGAAACAAACCGGAAACCCGGAAATCCTTCGGGGAGTCGAAAACCATTTTTGTTGATCACTGAGGCAAACTTGCGAATTTGGCGGGGGGAGAGGGGGGTCCAACTCCCTTTGACACCCACCCGCCTTCCCCCCCCCCCCGCCCATGTGCCCACTCCACCCTCCCACCATCCCACCATCCCCGCCCCCCCCCACCGTCCCCCCCCACCCTCCCCACCCCCCCCGCCTCCACACGCTTGAGCGCCTCCCGGCACCGCAGCGGCACGCCGCAGCCGGACGATCGCAGCGCCTGCGGCAGCGCGCAGAAGCGGCGCTGCACCCGCAGCAGCCTGCGCCATGTGGCTGGCGGCTGGCGGCTGGCGGCGTTGGGGATCGCCCGACGCCGGGGGAGAAACTCTGCCAGAAAAATTCCCCCCTCCCCCCTCCCAGAACCCTCCCCCCCCCCTCCCCTCTCCCAAACATGCGGTTTGGAGCCCTTAAAATAACAGAGAACTTGGACCCGACTGTTAAAGGAAGAGATCAACCGTCGAAAGAGGCTGTGGGTGGTCTTGCTGTCAGTTCCGGTTCCTTTTGAAACGCCCCTAACACAGCACCGGCAAAACCGCGTCATCCATATAGGCACCAGAGAAACTCCGCATTTCCCCAGGACATGTGTGTAAACGCCCCCCATGCCCCCTGCTGAAAATAAGGCGGGCACAACCCCAAAAACAACTGGCCTCATTACTTTACCATGATCGAAGTCACCCTCTAAGTGGTGGTTTAAAGGGAAACAACCCCATTTCCCGACTTTGATAAGCCCCGAAAACCGCCAAAATCATGACCCCAGAACAACCACGGGCCGGGCTTTTTGGTGGTATGGCACAGCCTCCGAAGCGCGCCTCGTAGTGCAGCCTGGCGGACCATGGCCTGGACTTCGAAACCCGGCGCGCAATGTCATGCAGGACCCCAATTTGACCCAAATAAGCCCTTATTAGGGGCTTATAAGGGCTTACTCGGGCTCCCTCCCCCTCCCTCCCCCCCAGCCCCATCACAATGAGAACATGGACGCCGAGAAGGCCGTGCCCAAAACGCCCCCCGTATCGGTATGAGTCAAAATTAAACTTCCAGGGGACCACAGGTTTTAGTCCATGTTTCCTTCCATTTTGGGTACCTATTTTTGACCCACTGCCATCCGGCTGTGGTTGGGTTTATGCTTCGTCTGGTTTGTCTAGGATTAATTCAACCCCCCCCCCCCGGGTTGGTCAAGGCGGGTTGCGGTGGTTTAGGTTGGATTTATGAGTATGGCTGTGGGTCAAAAATAGGTACCCAAAATGGGTTGCCGTGGTAAATGGAAACCTGGATTTTGACCCATACCCATATGAACGGCTTGGAACTCTAGTTGGATGAAATAAACCATGTATTTTTGTTTACTGGACCCAACCATAGTTTTGATGCCATAGGAATTGCAATTGGAACCAAGTTGATTGCAATTGGAACCCAAGTTGAAGGACATGTTGTGTTTTTGGGTAAACAATGTTTGTTTTTATGGACCTAACCAACCATAGTTTTGATGGGAATTGAACCCCAGGGTTAGAGCATATAATTACCTGAAATCAAGGAGATTGCTAAATAGGCCCTAAGTGTCCACCTTGTGGGGGTGGTCTTTGTTGAAGTTGGTACCCTTTGTTTTGTTGTTGGATTTTTTTTGGCGCGAACCCCAAAAATGAAACGGTTGCAGGGTGGTTTAGCGATGCCCCAACAAAAACAACACAAACTGACACCCAATTGTACTGGCTACCTGGGACCCCATATGGCCTTTTTTTCTGGTCATACGCCTTTGACCGAAAAAAAAATGCCATGCGGATGTTTACAGCTTTTTTTCAACAACATGTCGAAAAAATATGGGCTTCATACGAGTGATTTACGCAAATGACCGGAAAAAAATGGAAAAAAAATGAAAAAAATGGACATACGGGCAAACACGGTCAAATACGGGAGTTTGTCCAAAAAAACATCCATACGGGGTGCAAGGTACGAATTGTATGTTGGCAACAAGGTCCAAGCCCTCCCCTCATTTTTTCTTGGTTTCTTTCAAATGAGACCTCAAGACCCTAAGGTCTTTTTGGACGAAACCCTCCGTTCCGGGTCCTTGAAAAAACGTCGGTTCCATGGCGAAGGCAAAAAGCTGGTTCGGATTTGTGTTTCTCCAGCCCAAAGCTACAAATGAAAATAACCAAAAGCAAAAACAAAGTGAAGCAAACAAACAACAAAAAACCTGGGCTGCCCTCAGATCCCCTGCTAAAAGTTTAACTTTTAGTGGATTGAATGGAAACCACCACTAAACACTAAAGGCTAAAAAGCTAAGGGGATGGCTGGGAGCCACCAAGAAACAACATGCCAACTTCGGACTAATCCTGATGCCCCTCAGAGAAACCCGGAAAACATATTAACTATCACTCCCTTGGTTGCTATTGAAGGCAACTTTTTGTGGGTCCAATGCGACAAATCCCAGCTGTTGCAACCAAAAACTTATTGTTCCAAAAATCCGTGACCCAAAAATCATAAAGCAAACCTGGGACCCCATATAGCTGTTTTTTTGGCATGCGCCGTTAACCAAAAAGAATGATGGCCATACGGATTTTTACGGCCTTTTTTCAACTTCCCAGAGGCTCCTGCGGCTTTCAATGGAAGACCCAACCCCTCCATTAGACACCCCGCGAATCGGTGGTTGGGACCCGGTCTCAAAACCAGGTTGTTTGAAAGGCCCTAAATCAATCGAATTGGAGCCTCTGGGTACATGCCGAACAAATATGGGTTTCATACGGATGATTTACGCAAATGACCGGGAAAAACAAACATGGCCGTACGGGCAAATACGGCCAAATACGGGAGTTTGAAAGGAAAAAAACAGTAATACGGGGTGCTAGGAAAGAGTCATGATTCAAAAGAGATTCCCTTAGCTGTTGGTACAAAAAGTGGCCGAACCGACAACCCCAGGAGAAACCCCGCGAGAAACAGTCATAGAGTTTCACCCCGTGACACTCAATACCCTCCCTTTTTGTTCGGGTATGATGTCGATCATCTAAGAAAAGGAGGTATTCACCCTAAAAAAACAAGGTTTTTCAACAAATACCAAAAAAAGCTGGAATTTGGAGTAGGGGGCACTAGTAAATGGGGCTTGCCACCCCTGGTACGGTGCTTCGGAATGCAAGAATCTGAGCAGGGAAACCAGCCCCTATAATTTCCGTTGTTCGGGAATCTCCCAAAGGGTTCATGCCCAACACCGGGAAACTCGTTGTCGTCCAAGTCTGATGAACTCAGGAAGTGAGATTTTCACTTGGATCCTGGACCTGCAAATGGGGGAAAATGGGTGTGGCTCAAAAGTAAACAGGAGGGGCCAACCGCAGGTTTTGGTCCATGTTTCCACTTACCAGGGTTCCATTTTGGTACCGGTTTTTTGAGCCACAGCCAAATGGCATGCCTTGTTGTCATTCCCTACTTAACGCGCCAGAAAGTTTCAGAATCCACATGCGACTATCCCTCCTATCTTTTGATGGCTGAGCCTCATGCGCTCGTTCTCAGAATCTGCTCATGGCGTGTCGGGAATTTGTGCCGGCTATGTCACAACAGCCCCCGATTACAAGCTCAGCTGCTCTTGCACTCGGCTGCCGTCTCCGCCCCATTCTGGATCAGTCCAGGTTACAACTGCCCCAGATTCAAGAATGGCAGCAGCAGTGTCAGTTCCTTGTATGTGATGAAACTTCCTCAGCTGCTCTTGCACACGTCTGCTGTCTCCACCATACTCTGAATGACCCCAGGTCACAACTGCCCCAGATTCAAGAATGGCAGCAAAAGCACCAGCAGTTGCTTGGATGTGGTGGACCTTCCTCAGCTGCTCTTGCACCTGGCTGCTGTCTCCCACGTACTCTGGACGACCCCAGGTCACGACAGTCCCAGACTCAAGAACGGCGGCAAAAGCACAGTCAGTTGCTTGGATTTGCTGGACATTCCTCAGCTGCTCTTGCACCTGGCTGCTGTCTCCACCACATTGTTGATCACCCCAGGTCACGACAGCCCCAAATGCAAGAATGGCAGCAAAAGCACGAGCAGTTGCTTGGATTTGCTGGACATTCCTCAGCTGCTCTTGCACCTGGCTGCTGTCTCCACCACATTGTTGATCACCCCAGGTCACGACAGCCCCAAATGCAAGAATGGCAGCAAAAGCACCGTCAGTTGCTTGGATTTGCTGGACATTCCTCAGCTGCTCTTGCACCTGGCTGCTGTCTCCACCGTACTCTGGATGACCCCAGGTCACGACAGTCCCAGACTCAAGAACGGCGGCAAAAGCACAGTCAGTTGCTTGGATTTGCTGGACATTCCTCAGCTGCTCTTGCACCTGGCTGCTGTCTCCACCGTACTCTGGATGACCCCAGGTCACGACAGTCCCAGACTCAAGAACGGCGGCAAAAGCACAGTCAGTTGCTTGGATTTGCTGGACATTCCTCAGCTGCTCTTGCACCTGGCTGCTGTCTCCACCGTACTCTGGATGACCCCAGGTCACGACAGTCCCAGACTCAAGAATGGCGGCAAAAGCACCGTCAGTTGCTTGGATTTGCTGGACATTCCTCAGCTGCTCTTGCACCTGGCTGCTGTCTCCGCCCCATACTGGATCATTCCAGGTTACAACAGCCCCAGATTCAAGAATGGCAGCAAAAGCATGGGCAGTTGCTTGGATATGCTGGACCTTCCTCAGCTGCTCTTGCACCTGGCTGATGTCTCCACCGTGTTCCGGATCACCCCAGGTCACAACAGCCCCAGATTCAAGAATGGCAGCAAAAGCAAACTTGGTTGCTTGGATGTGCTGGATGCTCCTCAGTTTCTCTTTCACCTGGCTGCTGTCTCCGCCACACTTTGGATCACCCCAGGTCACAATTTCGGGCCCATGGCCACACAAAGCAAATACTCTATCAGATGCAGCCAGTTTGCCAAGCGGCACAATCGCAAGCACCACGTCCCCATCTTGCAAGCCAGCCTCACTCAGCGTGGCTGTCAAATCGAGCTGCCGGCCTTTCGCAATGAGCTTCAAGCGGCGCTGGAAATGCTGCTGCGCTGCAGCCTTGAGCTCGCTGACGGGCGATGCTGGTGAGACCTCTATGGAGTAACCATCTCCACTGGCCAAGTGAACATCCACCTTCATGGCGCACCAGGTTGACAAAGACGAATTGGGGATACAAACATGTATCTCAGGAAATCCCAACCATTTGCAGTTCAGGATACGGCTTCAGCAAAGATCCTGCCTTTGAACTGTTCCTATCTGTCTAGCTGGCATTTGGGTGTTGCTCCTTTAAACCGACCCCCTTTTAAAGGTGCTATGAATAATGGGCTTATTTTCCGCCAAGGGTCCCCAAATAAGATTAATCCAGGGGGGGGTTGGGGGGGGGGGAGCGCATCCAACCCGGAGTGTTTGGGATGGATCCCTTTTCGGCCAGTTCTTCCATGCAGAAGGCAATCCCAGTGCCCTTTTTTTTGGGGGGGGTCATTTTGAGGCCACACACATCATCACTTCAGCGCCGGCGCCAACCAAGAGGCTGTCGCTCTGCCTCCAACAGCCACAGCGTCATCAGCATCACCAGCATCATCAGCATCATCAGGACTGAAACCGGAGCAAGCCAGCTTCAACTGCCGGTGCTGGGCGCTTATTGAGCGCGCCTTTGGAACGAAACGCCACCTTCGTCAACTCGCGACCGGGGAACAAATCCGACCCTGCCCGGCCCTGCGAGCGCAGAGCAAGCATTCAAAGGGGTCCAAGCAAAAGATGAGCGTCGATCGCATTCGCAAAAACCACAACAAAGGATTTAGGAGGGTTTAGGGTTTCTAATATGGGGTTTAGGGTTACTTCCATTTGCTTAAGCCCCCTAGAAAAAATAAAAATATTTCCAGTAGTAGTCATAGATGCCCTTTAAAACCAACAGGGGAAAACGAACAAATATTCATTTCAGCAAATGGAAGCCTTTCGAACCATGCCCATGGCCAGCTGGGATCGCTGGTGCTCGAGCTCAGGTTTTCTCTAGTGCTTTAGGGAACCCAAATTCCCTTAGGAAACGCCTGGAGTCTCCATGACCAATTAAAATAAATTTCCCTTTTTGTCCACTCACGGCCGCCCTCCGCTCGCCCATCCTATCCTTCCGCCTGCCAGCGCCTCTGCGCGGCGCCGGCCCTCCGACCCAGGCTTGCAGCCCAGCTCCAGGACTAAGAGCTCGCCTCGGCTCGAAAGTTTGGCGGCCCGGAACACGCCAAACAACACCACAACCGACAACCGACAACCGACAACAACGACAACGACAACAACAACGACAACGACAACGACAACGACAATGACAACGACAACGACAACGACAACCACAACCACAACCACAACCACAACAACAACAACAACAACAACAACAACAACAACAACAACAACAACAACAACAACAACAACAACAACAACAACGACAACGACAACAACACAACAACAACAACAACAACAACAACAACAACAACAACAACAACAACAACAACAACAACAACAACAACAACAACAACAACAACAACAACAACAACAACAACAACACCAACAACAACAACAACAAACAACCAACAACCAACAACCAACAACCAACAACCAACAACCAACAACCAACAACCAACAACCACAACAACAACAACAACAACAACAACAACAACAACAACAACAACAACAACAACAACAACAACAACAACAACAACAACAACAACAACACCAACAACAACAACAACAACAACAACAACAACAACAACAACAACAACAACAACAACAACAACAACAACAACAACAACAACAACAACAACAACAACAACAACAACAACAACAACAACAACAACAACAACAACAACAACAACAACAACAACAACAACAACAACAACAACAACAACAACAACAACAACAACAACAACAACAACAACAACAACAACAACAACAACAACAACAACAACCACAACAACGACAACAACGACAACAACGACAACAACGACAACAACGACAACAACGACAACAACAACAACAACAACAACAACAACAACAACAACAACAACAACAACAACAACAACAACAACAACAACAACAACAACAACAACAGACAGCCACAGCCACAGCCACAGCCACAACCACAACCACGACGACGACGACGACGACGACGACGACGACGACGACGACGACAACAACAACAACAACAACAACAACAACAACAACAACAACAACAACAACAACAACAACCACAACCACAACCACAACCACAACCACAACCACAACCACAACCACAACCACAACCACAACCACAACCACAACCACAACCACAACCACAAACACAACCACAACCACAACCACAACCACAACCACAACCACAACCACAACCACAACCACAACCACAACCACAACCACAACAACAACAACAACCACAACAACCACAACAACCACGACGACGACGACTACCTAATTACCACCCAACCACCAACCACCAACCACCAACCAGCAACCCGCAACCACCAAATCGACCAACAAACCAACCGACCAACCGACCAACCGACCAACCGACCAACCGAATTAACCGACCAACCCACCAAATCACCAACCGACCAACCGACCAACGACCAACCGACTAACCGACCAACCGACTAACCGACCAACCGAATTAACCGACCAACCGACCAACCGACCAACCGACCAACCGACCAACCGACCAACCGAAATTAACCAATTAAATCAATTTAACCACGAATCAATTAACCACCAACTGACTGAATCAATTAAATCGACTCAATCGAATAACCGATCAACCGGAATTAACCGAATTAACCGATCAACCGAATTAACCAATTAATCGAATTAACCGATCAATCAATTAACCGACTCAAATCGAATTGAATCACTCAACTCGAACAACCGATCAAATCGACTAACCGAATTAACCGAATCAACCGATCAAATCGATCAATCGAATTGAATCCGACTAACCGAATTAACCGAATTAACCGAATCAACCGAATTAACCGAATTAACCGAATTAACCGAATTAATCCGAATTAACCGAATTAACCAATTGGAATCGACTCAACCGACCAACTCACTCAAATCGAATTAACCGAATCAACTAATTAACCACAACCGATCAACCGGTTCAATCGAATTAATCGAATTCAATCGACTAACCGAATTAACCGGAATCAACCGAACGAATCGATCAATCGAATTAACCGAATTAATCAATTAAATCAATCAATCGAATTAACCGAATTAACCGAATTAACCGACTAATCAGGTTCCATGGCAACAAGGTGTCATTCGGGTTGCTTCCATTCGATCGAATCGATCGATCAATTCCACCGACCCACTC